CTCTTTTTTTAAAAAAAAAACATTTTCTTTGAGCTTTAGGTATTCACCTTGGTTCTTTACTAGACTATGTACTATCATTCCTTGCAGATTTTTATTTGATGCTCCAAAACATCAGTAAAGTACAGATATCTGAGCAAGAGACAGTAGGAACTGCAGATGCTGGAGAATCTAAGATAACAAGGTGTAGAGCTGGATGAACACAGCAGGCCAAGCAGCATCAGAGGAGCAGGAAAGCTGATGTTTTGGGCCTAGACACTTCTTCAGAAATGGGGGAGGGGAAGGGGGTTCTGAAATAAATAGGGAGAGGGGGGAGGCGGATAGAAGATGGATAGAGGAGAAGATAGGTGGAGAGGAGACAGACAGGTCAAAGAGGCGGGGATGGAGCCAGTAAAGGTGAGTGTAGGTGGGGAGTTAGGGAGGGGATAGGTCAGTCCAGGGAGGATAGACAGGCCAAGGGGATGGGATGAGGCTAGTAGGTAGGAGATGGGGGTGGGGCTTGAGGTGGGAGGAGGGGATAGATGGGAGGAAGGACAGGTTAGGGAGGCGGGGACGAGCTGGGCTGGATTTGGGATGTGGTAGGGGGAGGGGAGATTTTGAAGCTCGTGAAGTCCACATTGATACCATTGGGCTGCAGGGTTCCCAAGCGAAATATGAGGTGCTGTTCCTGCAGCTTCAGGTGGCATCGTTGTGGCACTGCAGGAGGCCCAGGATGGACATGTCGTATGAGGAATGGGAGGGGGAATTGAAATGGTTCGCGACTGGGAGGTGCAGTTGTTTAGTGCGAACCGAGCGTCGGTGTTCCGCAAAGCGGTCCCCAAGCCTCCGCTTGGTTTCCCTGATGTAGAAGAGGCCACAACGGGAACAGCGGATACAGTATACCATATTAGCAGATGTGCAGGTGAACATCTGCTTGATGTGGAAAGTCTTCTTGGGGCCTGGGATGGGGGTGAGGGGGGAGGTGTAGAGGCAGGTGTAGCACTTCCTGTGGTTGCAGGGAAAAGTGCCGGGTGTGATGGGGCTGGAGGGGAGTGTGGAACGAACAAGGGAGTCACGGAGAGAGTGGTCCCTCCGGAAAGCAGATAAGGGTGGGGAGGGAAAAATGTCTTTGGTGGTGAGGTCGGATTGCAGATGGCGGAAGTGTCGGAGGATGATGCGTTGGTTCCAGAGTTTGGTGGGGTGGTACGTGAGAATGAGGGGGATTCTGTTCTGGTTGTTATTGCGGGGAGGGGGTGTGAGGGATGAGTTGCGGGAAATGCGGGAGACACGGTTGAGCGCGTTCTCGACCACTGAGGGGGGGAGGTTGCGGTCCTAGAAAAACGAGGACATCTGAGATGTTCGGGAGTGGAATGCCTCATCCTGGGAACAGATGCGGTGGAGGTGAAGGAATTGGGAATAGGGGGTGGCATTTTTGCAGGAAGGTGGGTGGGAGGAGGTGTTTTCTCGGTAGCTGTGGGAGTCGGTGGGCTTGAAATGGATATTGGTTTCCAGGTGGTTGCAGAGATGGAAACAGAGAGCATATGATGGAAACATATGAGCAATGTGGGTTATTATCTGATGCTGAAATGGAACGTTTTATGCAAATAATCAGATACATTTAATCTTTGTTGAGGGATTAGCTTTATTTTCTCTTTTTAATGGTTAGATGTAATTTTGCAGACAATAGCTATAAAAACAAACCAATGTATCTTCTCATTTGAATGAATGTAAAATTATATTTGGGTGTAATTGAACCGCAGTGAATGGTAATTACAGAAATTTAAGACAGATGTTACCTCAGTCATAAATAATGTTAGCACTCAAGAGGGTCTCCAAATTAAGTCTCCAGAAACAAGTATTGAGACATTGAAGTTTTCTGAGCAAAATTGTTTAAAAACGTATTGTTCACCTCACTTTTCCTTTTGGAAAGTTGCTGGAATTAGTGACCACAGCATCTTTAAATTACATTTCAGGAACATTCAGTTTTCTTAACCTAATCTAAACAAGTAGAACCAAGAAATTCGGAAAATAATTGTTGAGATTTGCAGTCAGATTTCTGTATATTCACTTTGTCTCCACTTCCAATGTGAGAGGCTCCTTATGATTTGAGTTATAAAAAACAAATGCTAGAAATCTGTTGAAGGCCCTTCAACGTAGAAATCTGTTGGAGGCCCTTCAATGTTGAAAAGAGGAAAAAAAAAGACCAATGTTTCCGATGAAGAGCGTGCAACATTTTATGGGAGGCATAGGACAGCACGGTGGCTAACTGGTTAACTGACCCCGGGACCCAGGTTTGATTCTGCGCTTAGGTGACCCTTTGTGTGAAGTTTGCACATTCTCCCCATGTCTGCGTGGGTTTCCTCCCACAGTCAAAAAATGTGCAGGGTAGGTTGGCCATGGGAGATGTAGGGTTATGGGTTATGGGTTGGGTCTGGGTGGGATGCCCTTCGGAGGGGTGATGTGGACTTGATGGGCTGAATGGCCTGCTTCCACACTATAGGGAATCTATAATCGTCTAGCCTCTTAATTATTATTCAACCATTTACCTTTCTTTCCTAATTTGGTGTTATAGTGGGAGAACAGTGAGGTCAGGATGGAATGGTTTTCAGCAAACAATATCTAAAATATAATATCCCATGGTATTGTCTACGGGTGGGTGATTAAGAATCTGATGAATGGCTGTGATGTTCAGTTATAAATTTGCTCTGCCCCTTTAAAAGGCACTACTCTTAATAGGCACATCCATTAAATTGTAGCTGCTGAAAACTACCAACATTACTCAGGGAATGGCTGTCGCTGATTTTAAATGTTACTGTCTCAGTTCTAACTTTTTTTTGTTTTTTTTTTTATTGTAACAGTGTGTGATGTCTGAAATATGATGAATGTCAACTGAATATAAGATTTTACCATTGTGCTGATCAATGCATTTTGGCATTGCACACAGACAGTATTCGACCAAGCATTGTCTGCAGACGAGACAATGTTCAGGAGCAGAGAGTAGTTGGAGCAGGGCATACAGATGTGCTCAGTGTCCATTTTATTGACGTTCTGACCTTATTTTTGTCTTTGATTACAAATTCCTGTATCCCACATTTATTATGTAAATTTGCATACTGTAATTACTGTGACAATGCTGGCATCGCAGCACCTCCACTGAAGGAACGGAGAGTGGGTTGTGGAAAATGCAGTTAATGCCTAACCAGTTTTATATAACCAGTTTCCATTATAAATGTGAATGTTGAAATTATAATGGAAACTAGAGTGACAGGAAATGTGCACAGATGTTAGATGCCTCCTATTTTAGGAATGGAAATGGCTTACAGAGCATTGATCGGGCAATTATACAGTCACCTCTACTGTTAGTTGATTGCCACTTATATTTTAAACAAACAACACTTCGTAATAACAGCATGGGCAGATATCCAATTTGAACCTATGTGTGATTCTTGGAAACCTCCCACAAGAAGGTGGACTTTTCTGCCTGACTTCCCCCCACTCCTTGCCCAACGTGAAACAATTCATCTCTCTGATGTCCCTTAATGTTTGCAAGTAATTGATTAGGATTCCAGCAAGTCAGATAAACTGCAAATTGTAGAGATTTTTGCCTTCACTCTACTGGGCTATGTTTGTTTTATTTTTATGTCACTTCAATGCGGCACGTTGGAAAAACACGATAAATAGTTCAGCATCAATCTGCACAAGGCAAGAAGGTCCTAGTTTTGAATCGTACTTGGTTTTGAATAAGGTGACCTCTGGTTGGAAAGCAGTTGGGCTAATGTGGTTGACTTTCACCTGTTTGATTTAACCCTTGTGGGAAAATGTAATTGCGGGCAGATTGGAAGCACTTGGACCAGGATTTGTGTCAATGCATCTTGTTGATATCGAGTGATATACGCATGAAATTTGAACGAAACCACACCAGGCTGCAGCATAAAACTAATGACGTAAAAAAGGTTCTTTGCAGTTGCACGTCTTTTGTAAAGGAAAACTCTGTGAACATGTTTAACAATCTGAGAACTGAAACAAGAACGCGCATCGAAAGGACAAAGAATTGCACTTGCTGGAAATTGGAAACAAAACCAGAAATGGCTGGGGAAACTGAGCAGGCCTGGCAGCATCTGTGGAGAGAGAAACAGAGTTAACATTTTGAGTCTAGTTACCCTGCTTCAGTTTGAAGTTTCTCCAGCAGTTTCTGTTTTTTGTATCATGAGAGGAACTTTGGGCAAGACTTTTGGGTGGACTTCCGAACTCCATCAGCAGGCTGAAATGTGGCGTAGGACTTCAGTCTGTCTGGTCAATGGTTAGCCTTTTTACCAGGCAGCCAATTAATGGCGAGAGAACGGACTCATTATCTTATTAAAGATGGCATGCCAGCCCTCAAAAGAGGGTCCACAAGTGATAACAAGGGCACTTAAAAGCTGTGTGGCAGCTGGGAGTGGGGTCTTGACAAGGCAGCCTTCAGTGCTATGGCATAGTGATCTGCCTGGAGTGCTGAATATGCCCCAAACCCCCCTCCCTCACCCCCACCCAATTCCTCCTCTTCCCCCTTTCTGACTGCGCAGTTAAACAGACTCCCAGCGCTTGTAGGGGTCTGGAGATTGATCCAGAAAAATCCCAGCTGACCTTTAATAGTCCGTGACCAACCTTAATGGGTTAGATGCTGTATGTCGGCAGATAGCACTGTGCCTCATCTATCTTTCCTGTCGCCTGCCCCCCACAAAAAGAGACGCAGCCAGGGAAAAGGGCACTCAGACTTGTGGTGCTATTTTTACTGTTGCTGCCTGACCTCAGCACAACCTAAATCTCTAGCCCTTTTTCTTTCTAGTCATATGCCATATCAAAGACTTAGCACCAATGAACTTGCTGGTCTAGCACGATATCGCATGATATAAACATGGAACAATTTTCCTAGGCACTTTAAGCTGCTGTGGAAAAATTTCCTTACGTCATGTTTTAAAGCTTGATGAAAGTGTTCACTGATAGCTGCGATTTCTAACAAATTCTTCATTCTGGCTTTCTCCTAGAACATGGACAAAGTGATCCTGCCTTCAGTCACTCTAATCGTTGGCTGTGGAGTTTCTTCATTGACTCTTCTACTGCTAATCATTATTTATGTATCGGTCTGGAGGTAATGATATGAATTTTATTTTATTAATTAAACTGAATTACAATGTATTTTGATGGGATTATATATTGGTTGACAAGTTCTGACATAATTACCGGCTTTTGATCCAACGAAGAACCGATTTTATGAAATGACTGACTTAATGCAGCACATTTCTTGATGTCCTTGACTAAAGGGGTCATTATGAAGAATCAATTGCCATTCTATCAATGTCTTAAAGACTTCTTCCAAGACATGTGTCTTTTGTGGCCTGTTGATCCATAGATTCATGTTAGCGGGAAGAACACAGTGAGGCATAAGTGGGTACAAGAGCAGAGTGAAGTGGTATATATGTGCATAAATCACTGAAGTTAACATCTCATACGCTGCCTAAAAAAAATTTTAAAAAGCTATTACAAGGGGGCATAGTTTTAAAGTGAGTGGAGGTAGATATAGGGGAGACGTCAGAGGTAGGTTCTTCACTCAGAGAGTGGTCGGGGCGTGGAATGCATTGCCGGAGAGGGTAGTGGAGTCGGCCTCATTAGGGGCATTTAAGCGGCTATTAGATAGGCATATGGACGATAGTATAAGGTAGGGGTGGAGGTTAGATAGACCTTAGGGTTAGGGTAAAAGTTCGGCACAACATTGTGGGCCGAAGGGCCTGTACTGTCCTATGTTCTATGTTCAAGTTAAGATTGTGAGTGTGGTTAATAAAATGATACAACATGCTAAGCTTTATTGATACAGATATAAAGTACAAACGCAAAGATGTCAGGTTAAACTTGTATAAAGAACTGATTCAGCCTCAGCTGGAGTGTTGTGTCCAAATCTGGGCA